CTGTTCTCGTGACTCCTCAATTCCAGGGAACCAGAGCGACCTGTTCTTTGTACCTGTAGGTCTAGGATCTCCAAACTTAACCAATCACATGCCCCTCTCAGAAGAAATATGAGCATGCTCCCTCATGCAGATAGTATACGCATCATAAACAAAGAGTAGAGCTTTAACATAAGATAAATAATCATACACAGAAATCCTGACATTATATTCCCAAATCTCAAAAGATCTCCTGTGCACCCCACTTTGGGGACGATGCTTTAGGTACAAAGCTTAAACATTGCCTTATATTGGATCAGGAACCCTTACAGCAGAGGGTCCAGTCTTCTAGTGGGTTTAATGTTTAGTTAGTGTACTCTGAGTCTTCATTGTTCAGAAAAGAACCTCTTGAAGAACTGACTTCCTGAACTCCCAGTCATGTTGGTACTCCTTACAGAAGCGAGTGAAAACCCCTTTAGGGAATGATTGAGAGCAGCCTCTTGAATGCTTAAATGATCAAGGAGGGAGCAAGGCAAACCAATTTGTTCTGTGCAGCAAACTCAAAATGTGGACCAGTTCCCTCAGCCCTCATTAAACTAATTAAACTGATCGGTATCATGCTTCTACTCCATGGTGAACTGAAGCAGAGTCAAGTTGATGAAGTTAAGCACGACCATGTTCTTGAGCAGCTGAATTGGCTGCCAAGAGTCCAAGCCATCTGGCCCAACATATGCACTGGGCATTGGGTAAGGGACTCCAGAAGCAGCAGCTAGAAAGAGAAAAAGGCTCTCTTCAGTCCCCATGATGCTTCTTTCCTCTTAATGTCTCAAAATAAAACCAGAAAGAGGAATAAAATGATTAAGTGCTTGAGGCCAAATGAGTTCCCTTGATTCAAATAACCCTGATTCATAGACAGAGACCTCCCGATGTCTTGGTTTCAATCAAAGCCCTCTCTCTCTGTCTCTCTCTCTTTTGCTCTCTCATTCCCAGGCACTCTTTTTTGGTTTGTGGGTCCAGGAGATGGGACTGGATAGGAGATGAAACAGGCTTGAGTTTGGATAATTTGTGTAAGATGCTGCTGAACACATCTCTTCATGTGCAGTCCCCAGGTATCTGATGATGTTCTGAAATGGATAGATTGTTTCAGAGTTATTTTGTGTGCTTTAAAAAAATCCCATTTATGCAATTTACTTGGAATTTGCTTAGTCTTTAATAGGCCTGTGTAATTTCCTGCTCCTCCAGTACAATAAATAAAAGAAAGATGTTGATGACTTGGTGGGTGTGTGTGTACATGCACGTGCACATGTGTGTGAGCCTCAGTCCTCAGAGAGAAAAAAAATTGCAGAAAAGAGTGCTGGAAATAAAGAAGAGTTACACACACACATACACACACACACACACACACACACACACACACATCCAGGTTGGAAAACCAAGTGTGGGATAACAGAAAGAGCAAAAACTGTGGAGTGTCACAGCTTTAAATTGGAACATTGGATCTGTGAGACCTTGAGTAAGCCATTTGGTTTCTCTCAGCCTTATTTCCTGCCTCCATAAAATAAAGACTAATAGTGCCAATTTTGTAGAGTCGCTGTGAGGATTAGATGAGCTCATATATGCAAAGATCCTGGTACACAGTAGGTGCTCAGTAAGTGAGTTTTCTTTCCTACATTGTCTTAAGGGACGGTGACAAAGCTTGAGCCTTGAGCACCACAATGAGGAGAGTGGGGAGAGGTGCTGCAGAGGGAGTCTGCATCCCACATAATTCCCATGGGCTGTTTTCTATGCTGGATGACCAGGACAGGAGATAGACACATGTTCCTAGACAAGGATGAGTGAATTAAGGATGGAGGATGCTCTAGCCCTTGGGTGGCATAATGTCCTTTACTAAAATGACATTTTACATTAAATGTTGTCAATGAGATGTCTTTAAATAGGATGAATGTGAGATTTAATGGCTACAGACCTCATGGGTTCCATTTGGATATTGGCTTTCTGAGTGACTTCATAGAAAATGCAGAGTGAGGAAGCTCTCATTCATTCTCTCATTCATTCAACAAACTCTTAATTAAAGGTCTACTGTGTTTGGCAGGCCTTTTGCTAGGTGGTGGAAGTACAGAAAAATGAAATGGACAAGATGTCTTCTGTTATGGAACTAACAGTCTAGTAGGAGAGACAAACACAGGGACAAAAATATAAGTCAAACATTTAAAATAATGGTAATTGTTGGGAAATAGTTGGGATGTGGAGATAAAGGATAACAAGGATAGAGGAGAAACCTCCCTAGGGTATTTAGGAAATCCTTCTCTGAGGACTGTGTCATTCTTCATATTCATAGGCTTATCAAGATGGAAGGAACCTAAGGCTTGGGTTCATCTTATCCATCCACCTACCCTGTGCCAAAATTGACACATTGATAGGAAACTTTAATCTGCTTGAATACTTTTGTTGACTTGTATTTCACAACATATTCCTATTCCTCAGTGATTCAGTGTTGGAAAGTCCCATCTTCATGTTAGGTTGAAGTTCAGGTTTCTGTTATTTTTACCCACTGAGTCCCAATCCTGTTGTCACTAGCCTGGGAGATTCTCCAGGGAAGAACTGTCTGCCACTTGAAAACAAATGACTCCTAACTCTCTCAGATGGGTTAAACAAAGAGACTACAACAACAAAACCCAAGTAATTTGTTGGATCACATAAATTTAAAAATCCAGGGATATTTAGCTTCAGATAGAGTTTGATCAAGGGA